TAACGTCTATGGAACGAAAACAAAAGCATTACTTTGAACTGGTAGTTCAAAGTAACGTAACAGAATAATCGGCCGTGACTTTAATCTTTTCGCATTTAATATTATCCGCTGCCGGGCTACTTTGGTAATTTTCTGTTTACGTGATTTTCACCTGTATTTGATTTTATAACCGTCGCCATTAAAATTTTGCTTCAGAACAATTTGTTTTAATTTTCATGATATTTTGCATTTGCGTATTGCCATGGGTTATCAAGGAGGAAACATTTTTTCTAAATTTCTGGAGTTCATAACGAGCCGCCTGCCTAAAGCCGTTAAGTGCAGTGGCGTGGCTGTTATTGACGTAGGTCGTATGGGCATTACTATGCAAAGAAGCTGCAGAATATTTAGACTTGTAGATACCTTTCGAAACCTGCCAAAAAAAACTTGTCGAAACATGTTCAAGTACGTCTAACCTTCTCTGAATGTGTCCGAACCGTAATAAACCTGTTAAGACTAACATTTTTAAACGCGCGGAATCTTGTCGTATCCTGTCTGAACGTGTCCAGACATTCTTAACATCACCGAATTTGTCCAAAACATAGTTCACCTGTCAAGACTATTTTATACGACACCTAATCACCTTTTCATTGATTCTGATGTTAGGTATGTTTAGAACTTTCTCTAAAAATTAATTTTCGTAAAGAAATTGGCTGAAAAATTACTGATTGCCCTCATAAAATAGGCTTATCTTGAACACTCTCATCATAGTACATTTTAGCTGCCAGCGTTTTCGTTCTCCTTGGCAACTGAAGGAATTGATAGTAGACCAGACGTTTTAATATGGCAAGCAAATCCAACATAATGCCAGTAATTTCTTGCGGAAACGAGAAATTCCTTCCGTGCTGATAAGTTCGTGAAACTTTTACAGTGTGAATTGTAGGGATAATGAAACTCTTTCAGCAATTTCAAATAGTACAGATTATGCCTCTCAAATGTGAATACATGTATAATTTATTCATAACTGATATCAATGAATAGAATTTTGTTTCTAAACTTAATGTACATACCCAG